TTTCACACAGTAGGAACGATATCTGCTTGCTACTGAATTTATCAAAATCAAGTTATTAATGCAGCAATGTTAATATCTAAAAAAGACATGTAACAGGTGATGTCCATATAACAAAAAAATGGGATCCATGCTGTTCCACAGGTGGATATACCAACAGCAAAGTGAAGGTCTAAAGGTGGTCAACTGGAAAAAAAAATCTAAAAGTGGTCAGATTGTCTACTTTTAATTAATCACACCAAGACTACACAAAAATAGTGGCAGGTCTGTCAAAGGACACGGCAACATCAACATCTCAAGGGCATGATGATACCAACACAAAGTTCCACCTTGGTCATTTTTAAGATCTGATGGTCTGCATCTTTCATACATCTAAATAGGGCTGCACGATTAATCGAATGCGATTGTCATGCGCATTTTGTTAGTAAAGCCGGTTCTGTAATCAGCAGTAAATCATCATCACGTGCTTTCAGATGGAGCAGCATTTACTACACATAGCCGTAGTTCACCGACAAGTTACGCAAAAAAATTTATAAATAAACTTTGCAGACAATTTTATCCCGCGATTATGAAATCGAAGAAATCGTTTGCGATAATGACAGCTGTTTGCATAGCTTCTCAGTGAACTACGGCTCTGTGTAGTAAATGCTGCTCCATCAGAAAGCATGTGAAAATACCACATTTAATAACATATTTTTACTCCAAACTCACTTCATAACGTCAGCCGAGTGTTTGAAATAAATCCTTCTGCGAGATGATGTGGCTTCTTACACAGAATAAGGCACGTAACTAGGCATGGGCCGGTATGAGATTCTGACGGTATGATAACCTTAGATAAAAAAAAAAATCACGGTATCACGGTATTGTGATCACAGCTCTAAAATATGTTATTTTTTAAATGTCTGGGTAAAAAAACTACTTTTTTTTTCTACCGAAGATATTTTATTTTTACATTTTGGAACAGTAAACATGTCAGGCTAAATAATTAGAATAAATAATTAAATTCTTCTTAATTAAATGCAGTCACTTAAATGATCCTAAACCTGCAGCTCAACAATAATCAGAACATAAATTATATTCTGTAAAAAAAAAATCCCTATAAATAAAATTTAAAAATGCAGTCACTTAAGTGAGCCTAAACCTGCAGCTCAATAATCAAAAATATAATCAAAACAATTTCTGTAAAAAAATAAATAAATGCATGCATGCATAAATCTGCAGCTCAACAAGGTTTTTGGAGACATGCTCGCTTTCTACACATTCATCTTTCAGTCCAAGTTATGATGCAGGAATGTTCACCTTTCCCGGATTAAGTTTGGAGCTATGGTTTGTAGGGATGCACCGAATATTCGGCCACCGAAAATTTTCGGCCGAAAATGGCCCAAAAGTGCATTTTCGGTTTTCGGCCGAAAGACTTTTATCACCGAAACAATACGGCCGAAATGTTTTGATGACGCAAACAGAAACCGCGACCTGCACGTGCTTGTCTGAAGCAACATGTCTGCGGTGTGGACGTATTTCAGTATATCTGCGAAAGACCACCAGACAGCGATTTGCAAAACATGTAATGCCGAAATTTCAAGAGGGGGTGCATCTGCAAAGACTTTATCCACGTCGGGTTTAATTAATCACCTGAAATCCAAACATTCCGATCGCTACGCTGAATATGAGAGGAACGCGGCACA